CCCGGAGGCCTGCAACAAAGCCCTGCATGGCCGACCCAGCCCAGGTCATGCCGACCTTCTCTGACTTCAGAGAGGCTAGGTCAGAGTGACTTGGTTGACTGTCACTGCGACCTCGGCTGTGAGAGGGCACCTGCAAAAATCAAATGGAACGTAAAGCAAGTTTTCTTAGCCAGTCTGACACAAGTATTATATCACTGCATTTACACCTTGAAATTCCAGTAATGTGTGTAAGACTTTACACATGCACGTGCACTGTGCCACACTGGACAAGCATGCATACATATGGCAGTAAGTAAGAATGAATGTACATCACGACATCTACACTGTCCTGTTATTCCAAGGCTGGTAAAAATCCGGAGGTACACCTAAAATGCAAGTTAATAATGGTACTGTGCCCCTTGTCTCTCAAGGTCAAGACGTTGTAATTAGTGCCTTGTGTAATGGTTAGTCATGAAGTGCATGATTTATGTACAACATGTTAGTACATATAGATTTTGAAGACTTACAAAGTGGTGGTGTGGAATTTTAATCAAACCTACAGGGACCCCCAATTGGCCCAAAACTATAGTCCTCATCTTTACACGACAGCGTTACTACAATTGTAATAAGGAAATAGATACGATCTTGTTAGGGGGTATAAGTGATATTGGTCACTATCAATGTTGTCTTGTAGCAATTCGTGTTACTTACCACTGATTTTATTCTTTGGAAATAAATACACAGATCTTAATTCGTGCTTTATGAGAAAGGATATCTCAAAGTACATTCTCACATTTCTAAAGGTGAAAGAATTTATCAAATGATCTTTGCATCACAACTGTCCATGGGAGGATAACAAGACACTGATAAAATATCAATAGTTAACATTGATGCTGCACTACACAACACTTCACTACCACGTTACAGTTCAAGTTTAGAGTACTGTGATGTCACACAGAGTTACAGTGCTGTGATGTCACGCAAGGTTACAATACTGAGATGTCACACAAGGTTACAATGATTTGACGTTATACAAGCTTACAGTACCGTGATGTCACACAAGTTTACAGTGATTTGACGTCATACAAGTTTTGAGTACTGTGATGTCACACGTGGTTACAGTAGTGTGATGTCATACAAAGTTACAGTACTGTGATGTCACACAAGGTAACAATGGTGTGACGTCATGCAAGGTCACAGTACTGTGATGTCACACAAAGTGACAGTTGTGTAACGTCATATAAGGTTACAGTACTGTGAAGTCACACAAGGTTACAGTGGTGTGATGTCATACAAGGTTACAGTACTGTGATGTCATACAAAGTTACAGTACTGTGATGTCACACAAGGTAACAATGGTGTGACGTCATGCAAGGTCACAGTACTGTGATGTCACACAAAGTGACAGTTGTGTAACGTCATATAAGGTTACAGTACTGTGAAGTCACACAAGGTTACAGTGGTGTGATGTCATACAAGGTTACAGTACTGTGATGTCATACAAGGTTACAGTACTGTGATGTCACACAGAGTTACAGTAGTGATGTCACACAAGGTTACAGTGTCGTGATGTCATACAAGGTTACAGTACTGTGATGTCACACAAGGTTACAGTGGTCTGATGTCATACAAGGTTACAGTACTGTGATGTCATACAAGGTTACAGTACCGTTATGTCACACAGAGTTACAGTACTGTGATGTCACACAAGGTTACAGTGGTGTTATGTCATACAATGTTAGTGCTGTGATGCCATACAAGGTTACAGTACTGTGATGTCACACAAGGTTACAGTACTGTGATGTCACACAAGGTTACAGTGGTGTGATGTCATACACGGTTACAGTACTGTGATGTCATACAAGGTTACAGTACCGTGATGTCATACAAGGTTACAGTACTGTGAAGTCACACAGTTACAGTACTGTGACGTCACCTAAGGTTACAGTACTGTGATGTCATACAAGGTGACAGTGGTGTGTCACAAGGTTACAGTGGTTGGACGTCATACAAGGTGACAGTGGTGTGATGTCATACAAGGTTACAATGGTGTGACGTCATACAAGGTTACAATACTGTGATGTCATACAAGGTGACAGTGGTGTGTCACAAGGTTACAGTGGTTGGACGTCATACAAGGTGACAGTGGTGTGATGTCATACAAGGTTACAATGGTGTGACGTCATACAAGGTTACAGTACTGTGATGTCATACAAGGTGACAGTGGTGTGTCACAAGGTTACAATGGTTTGACGTCATACAAGGTGACAGTGGTGTGATGTCATACAAGGTTACAATGGTGTGACATCATACAAGGTTACAGTGCTCTGATGCCATACAAGGTTGCAGTGGTGTTGCGTCATGCATGGTTTGTGCTGTTATGTCATACAATGTTACAGTGCTGTGATGCCATACAAGGTTGCAGTGCTGTGATGCCATACAATGTTACAGTGCTGTTATGTCATACAATGTTACAGTGCTGTGATGCCATACAAGGTTGCAGTGGTGTGATGTCATACAAGGTTACACTGTCGTGATGTCACACAAGGTTACAGTACTGTGATGTCACACAAGGTTACAGTGGTGTGACATCATACAAGGTTACAGTGGTGTGATGTCACACAAGGTTACAGTACTGTGATGTCAATGTTGTAGATACCAACTGTATGTGAACTAAATTAGTTGGTAATGCTGGATAACATATAATGTGTTAAAATACTGAGGTTTGGCTGTTCGCGAAGGTTTGTGTCTCATATTCTGTAACTACGGCCAAAGTGTTGTTGCTGAGCAGGTACATTCTGAGTTTGTTGAGAGATGTATGTTGTAAAATATTTAGCCATTAATTACAATATAGAAGCCTTTCACATTTACTGACCATGCAATGTGGTCTGGTTTGATGTGAGAGAATATTATGACCTCAGTGTAATACATTTCATTTTGTATAACAATGTCATGAAATCATCCCTAGCTTATGAAATGCAAGATATTTCTTTAGAAGTTGTCAATTATGGCCACATTTCTCAACTGATTTTAAAGTTCTGGTAATAATAATTTTAATAATTACAAGCTATGTCCCTTTTATAACCCTATTGACCGATCAGATTCCACCTCTCATATTACTTGCTTCAAACAAATTGGCAGCGCTAGTCAAGACGATCTTATCAATAATCAGATCTAAATTGTAATACAATTGGTCTTACTTCGCGAAGTGCGTCAATTTACGTGATAAAAAACATGAAAAGTTTTGGAAAATATCTCTTGGCACCGAGTTGGAGGTACACGTGCTTTACAAATCCTGCAATCGACCGAAATCTTCGAGGCAGTTGAAGAACTGGATTTTGATTTCATTACAAGATTTTCATTGAACTATGCATATACTCCTTGGTCCGCCAAAATATATCTCCATAATTTCATCGTAGTTCGGCAAGGGTGGAAACTGGACTTTTACAGTCAGTTAACTCACTTGCCTCGGAAAGATGGGTCGGTACAGACATGAGCACGGGTACCGACAAACCAATAAACTTAAACATGTCAAACCAGGCATTCAAACCAATTATCATCGGTATCTGGCACGCCTAGGGGACGCAACTCTGCACAGGGATAGTCAAACTTTAACTCCATTTTCTCGACATGTTATTTAAAGCAGTGTAACTTCATAGCCTGACACACTCCTCATGGACTCCTTGTTCCTTGTGAGTGGAGAATAGGTTTAAAGACACTTCGACCAGAATTTCATTTATATCACAGCGTCTCAGCTTTATGTGTGAGAAAAGCCCATGATACTAGCTTTGTGCACACCCATTTTATGCAACTCTACACAGAAGTTGCAGCGCCTTTGCCAACAATATCCCTCATTCCCTTCATGTTATTATGCAATGTCTTATACTGGTAGTACATTTGTACAGAGCTGTGCCCCGGGGCTTCAGGTAACAACGCATTGGTAGTGCTAAGCGCCGAGAACCTTGTGACCTGCTGGACCACACTGGGAGGACATGTTACTGGGCTTGACCTCTCCTTCAGCAACTTACTAGGCTACCCATTTGTGAGCCTGGTGTGGACAACATACCAAACAAACTCATATAAGCTTTGTTCATCTCCGACTAATTGAGCTATCAATAATGAAAATGTTTACTTGGACTAAACAACATTACAAATCAGTTGTCAAAGGTATGGAAGTTTTCTCATTGTTTTAATGCATGGGCACAAAGGGTAAAAACAAAACAAAAAAATTGCTATGTGTTTGCAAAACAGAATCAGCCCCAGGAATCATTTCATGCCACCATGCACTTCCGGTTCAGTTTGGTGACACATAAGCCTACAACCTCCAACCAGACAAGCTACCTTAGCTAACCCGGAGAGAACCTACATGCAATTCTGATCATGTAATTACTTGTGGTCTGAGAAAACACATGACCTCAATACAAATTGATATTCAATTCAGCTCTAAAGACATTTCTTGCCCAATACAGTACAACTTCAAAACAGAAAGTATGTGACCAGGAAGACTGTAAACAAACATGGCATGGCATAGACTAGAGTAGCTTCCCTGATAAAAGGGCAGTTACTTAAGCAGGCGGACATATAGATTTCTGCGAAAGACAATCACTGACAAATTGAAAATTGAAAAATTGTGCGTAGGCAATTATATTTTTGCCTATATGGTAGTTAGTTAAGTCACTGTCTACAAAATAAGTTTCAGTAGGGATTATATTACCTGCCATCACTGATTAATCATTGACCTTGTGGCACATAATATCTATGTGCACATTCAAAGAAAACTTGCAATGTTTAGGTACTGTTTGTAAGAGTGTTTTTGAGATTTCGTAATTAGAAATGACATAACAAGTAAGAGGTTATCACCATTTTGTTTTGGGATGCTAAATATCCTGTCACCTTAGGGGAACCCCTCCACACAGCAGACTGAGTCTCAGATGACTGGGCCACCCATGCAGCCATGTTATCAATGACATGGGGATGCACAACAATATTTCATAATGACATGAATAAAACAAAGCCAGGTAAACGTTTACACATTTAATGCATGTTTGTTTTTTGAAGTACAGTACACAAATTTCACACAATATAAGGACTGAAATGACCTCATGACCTTTGTATGACCTACAAAGGTCATGTCAGTCTGGCTGCAGAACATGAAATCTACAATTTGGCTATCTTTGTTATTGACTATGCAATTACTGAGATATCTGCATGCAAGCTAGATTTAATTTTACTTGTTGGTTTGACATTTTCTCAACGATGAGGTAGCACCGCTTATTACTTTAATATGATAACTTGGCAATCAAATCTAGATGAGTGACCGGCAGCAATTTTCAACACTGAAGGTCAAGGTCATGAAAACTCTCATGAGCATGATCTGTCAAATGTGAATTCATTACACAAGGATAATGAGTAAAAGTGATCAAAAATATAACAACATTTGCAACAAAGTGAATTATTATTTTCAATTTTTACAAAATGTCACGATTCTGACAATGAAATAAAAATACAATAAATTTCACAATTACTTCTGACACAAATGAACTATTTTAAAGTATTTTTTAAGCAACATATCATCAGGATTCCATCAACTTTTAACATTTGTCCTGACATCAGCAAATGAAGAGGTATTAAGTACATTCAAGATCTGATGCCACACTATCTGCCCTCACACATCTAGGTAAGATGGACATGCTATCCCAGCTTGTTTTGGAATGGTCATCATTAAAGCTATGTACCACACAGTATTCACTAACAAGTCCCTGTGATTATGCAAAGAACAAACTTGTCTTCTATATAAAACTGTCTCCAAATATTTTTATGGCCAAAGGGAGGTAATGCTGATATCCATGATAATTTCAGATACGGTAATATTTTGGCTGCTACCAAACATTATTTCCACAATTCAACATCCAGACTCCTAAAAGAGTAAATGTATACATAATTTATGAAATCAACTAGTAACAACACGATTTATCGCAAACAAACAAAAATGAACATTGTTTTCTAAGGAATAGGCACAATGTTTGGTTCAGCCAAAACAGGATATCATTTGACAATGGCACATGCAACCAAAAACATATGAAGACAGTTGTATTCAGAAGTGGTAAGATTTGGACAATAATGACAGACAGACAAAAATCATAATGACACAGTCAATGAAACAGGAAAACAAAGCATCTAGCAGCTCCTCGTGTTTCCTGCAGCACTTGATAGTCTTTCAATATAAGTTATATATCGGATGACATGGCACCTCGTACATAGTGTGCGCACGCATTATAAAGTCATCCTTCAGAAACTCACATGGACATGTACACAGAAATTACCTTCCAATAATAACAAAACCACAGTGTCCTAGAAATAGGGGCCTATCTGATTAATTTATGAAATTTTGGGAGTGGGCTAATTCCTGCAAGTTACCCTATCTCTGTCATTCAGGAGCCAAGATACAGTTACTATTATTGTGTCTAATGATTCTTTAATTGTGAAGTTTTACTTCATAAATATTGCTAATCTGAATATAGCAGATGTGGTTTATTGATTCTATTCCTGACGTCAATACATTTAGAACAAAAACTGATCACATCATACGGAGGAAGTATTTCTACATTTTAGTTGACATTATTGGTGATAACATTTCACAATATAATATCTAATTCACCTAAATCCCATCTATAATACATTATGAACATGTATTTACTATCTAAAGTAGAAGTTACCATAGGGGTTATTAAAGGTAAGAGATTTCTGATACATAGTCCAACATTCGCCACCTCTGACATTTGCAGTGTGAGATTTCTAAAAGACAAATAAATAAATCTTGCCACTACTATATCCAGTCTTTCATTCTTAAGAAATAAAAGTTTTCTTATAACAGAAGATAGATGACAATACAATAATACACAATTCACTCTATTCAAGTATGGGTCAGCCTTTTTATTTTGATTTTGTCTTCTTCAAAATTCTACTGGCTGAAATCTACAGTAATTTACCCTTTTTAATCCGTCTACATTCAATACAAGCTTACACATAGCCTTGAAGGCCTGCGGTCGACATACAAACATAGTCTCCAGCATGTATGCTTGATGTCGGCACAAGCTTACATACAACTGCATGCTTGTTGTTCAAGACTAAGTTCATACATAACAGTGACTGTGCTTGCTGTTTACATACAAGCATGACTGTTGACAAACAAGCATACACATAACCGTGTGCTTGCTGTTAACATACATGTTGAACAAGCATACACATTGTGTACTTGCTGTCAATACGCAAGCATACACAACAGTGTGCTTGCTGTTAACATGCAAGCATATATTTATTAGTGTGCTTGCTGTTAACAAACATGCATACACTGTAGACATAGTAGCATACACTTGTATACTTTCTGATAACAATCATATGCATGGAGTATGCTTGCTGCTAACAATCAAGCCCACAATCCAAACACTGTTGTCATTAACCTTTGACTTACAGTGTGATAAATCACTGTATGATTTCTGCCTGCATACACGTCGACACACATGATTTCTCCTAAAGCATACTGAGCTTATGCTTGCATGTACCAATCATCCAGAAAATAGTCTATGCTTGTTGTGATGTGTCACAGACATGTGAATTTTTTCTTTACAGTGGACAAGATCACACTTTAATCCAAACAAGAACTATCAGGTATTTGTCCGTAAGAATTCTTCTCGGTACGAAATAGGAAACACCGCCAGTTCTCATTCATGCGCGACTGTAGATCTGAACATAGGTCTCCATTACTGAAACGTCCAGACTGTCCAACCACTGACTACAGCTCTTATTATGAGCTTCTTTGGTCGATATCCTTTGTTTTAGAGTTCGGCATTTTTCGGCATATTGCTGTGATTTGAAAAAAAATTCACATCCACGAGAGGTTTATTGCATGAATCTTCGAGTAAACATTTTTCGAGATTTGACAATTCTACAAACAAAACAAATAGACATTGACTACAACCAAACATAAAATCATCCAATAAAAATTTGCATGTTAAAAAAATTGTCATGATATAAATGTATGTTGCCTTTAAGTCTCGTAAAAACTGCACCCAGTCAACAGTTCTGTCCTTCAAATAATACTAATTAATGAGCACTTAAAACGTAAAGAAATATATCTCCAAGAGTCATGTCTACGTAACGTATTTGCTACGTTCTTCTCAACTCCATCAGTATTGCGGATCCTCTTCATCGTATGCGTCCGATTCGTCCCCACTCAGATGAAATTTCTGAAAATAACCGTATATGCAAACTCAAAATTTGCCTCCGTTTTCACAACACGTCCTTTGGATCAAACCGTCTGAAAGAGTTTTGTCTCGGCTTTTGTTTAATTTTTCTTAAAACATTTGTGCACCTGTAAGCTGACTTGAAGAGAAACAGAAGCGCCACATGCAGCCAACTTGCAGAAACATTTGGCAGTTCATTTTATTAAATTTCAGACAAACTTTGACTTCATTATTTTTAGGCTCATCACTTCATTATTTTAAGGCTCATCACTGAATTTAATATCAATAAAAGTAAATATTGCATTTTATTGCAAATGTTTTTGTCTGAAATTCAAATTAAGAAAAAGAAACATTTTCCTTCTTGACTACAAGTGTATAAGGAAGAAGCACTCTAATATTTCAATTTAGGATAACTTGAATAACAAATTGATACTAGAGAAAACAAGAAATTTGACTTATGCTTATGAAAAAAGAGTTACTCATTTTAAACAGCTTGATCCATGGGCAAACAATTCTTTCTTACAAAAATCATTGATAATTTAGAATTCATGTAAAATCTACAAATAAAAATGCAAAATTAGAAATTAGGTAATTGTTTTTCTGTAAACAAATTTGAACTTAGCAGAATTAAAAGAATAAAGCATGCATACGAAGCCCACAACATGTACATAAAGACAGAGGTGATGCAAACATGCAAACTGCTGCCAAAGATGCAAGGGTCATGATGTGACAGGATATTGAAGGTCATGTGACAGGAAGTACCTGTTGTTGCATGTGATCGTACATGCCAGTGCCTCCTGGGATACCATCTGTGTTGTAACCCCCAGTCTGAGAAATAACATGCCGAAGTGCATTCACCTATGGAGGAAAGGAAAGTTGTTTACGAACATGCAGCCATTCCGATAGTCAAGCAGAGCAACAACATAAAAGCAGTCTGGTCAATATCATGCCGTGCTACAATATGGAGTTGTGGGACAAAACTGATTTTGAAAGTGAAATTTCAAAGAGAAATTTGTCAAAACAAATTCTATGTTTAGGAATATATACAGCTTTGGTCTTTTACTGGTAATCAAAAACAAACATGAGAAGAGAACTTTTATTCAGATTTGTTTGCGGCTGGTGGGTCTTGTTTACATATATTATGTTTGGAATCACACTTTCTTTTAGTTTCATCATTGCTTGAAAAATGTTTCAGAGCAAATTTTCTCAAGAATTCGGCTTAAAAAATTAACTCCTTTTTTTGACCAGACCTAAATAATAAGCAAGGTTGACAAGACAACAAACAAAGCTTCACACATTCCATGAACAATATACACACATGAAACACAGTACATCAACAACAGTTACATAGGTCAGACTCAGCTTCCAAAGGCTGCATTATATCTGAATCTGTTGGATACAGCAACACATTTTCTTGACAAAAGGAGACATTGAATTGCAAGGCTTCATAGAACTCACTTATATCCTAGAACATTGGATACCCTCTAGAACATAGCATACCCTCTAGAACATTGCATACCCTCTAGAACATTGGACACCCTCTAGAACATTGCATACCCTCTAGAACATTGGACACCCTCTAGAACATTGCTTACCCTCTAGAACATAGCATACCCTCTAGAACATTGGACACCCTCTAGAACATTGCATACCCTCTAGAACATTGGACACCCTCTAGAACATTGCATACCCTCTAGAACATTGCATACCCTCTAGAACAATGCATACCCTCTAGAACATTGGACACCCTCTAGAACATTGCATACCCTCTAGAACATTGCATACCCTCTAGAACATTGGATACCCTCTAGAACATTGCATACCCTCTAGAACAGTGCATACCCTCTAGAACATTGCTTTCCCTCTAGAACATTGCATACCCTCCAGAACAGTGCATACCCTCTAGAATACTGCATTCTCCTTAGAATATTGCCAAATATTGCATAGCCATTAGATTAAATTTCCTCTAGAACATTTCACACTCTTTAGAATATTGCATATTCTTTAGAACATTACATATCCTCTAGAAAAATGCCTACCATCCTATCTGGCCCTAGTCTGGATTAGTATCTAAATACAGTGTTCCCATGTCCCTGTATCATTACATGCCACACATGCCACACATGCACCACATGCCATACATGTACGATGTCTGTGTCCCAAGCAGTCACACATGCAGTTGTATAGCCCATGTACTCCGCCATACCTCAAGCACAACTTACCGGTACACCTTACATGCTCATAGAATTGCAATTGTTTTTCTGCCCCAATGAGAGTGAAAACAAGTAAAGCAAAAATTGCTGCCAAAAGCAAAGCTCCATAAAATTGCATTGATGCTCCATCAATATTTGCTTTATCCCAGGCACTCGAGGGGGAAGAGATTGTAAGATTTGTTGAGGTATCATGTAGTTTGGATTGTGAAAGATGACAACAACAAACAACAAACAACAAACAACAGAACATGCCACAATACACAAACTTAAAATAATGTTCAGCGTTTCTACAATTGGTAATTTCATTGACGTTCATCTTCAGTAGACAGTGCTAAAATTTGGTATTTGATTCAAATGGTTGAACTTGATAAAAAAGTAAACAAAATAAGTTTGTAAAATCAAATTTAGAACTTGTAATTTTTTTGCCAAATGAGGCACTGTCCATTGAGTGAAACAGTCGGATGGAATATTACCAACCTGTGACTGAACATTAGCTCCTACCGAGTTGTCTCCCCCTTGATAACTCTCTCCGTTGATGTTCATATACATCCCCTGCTGCTGACCTATAAGTCCAGACTGTGAGGTCCCAAAGCCAGCTGCACCTGGAATGTAAGGAATACTTTACTGAACACAATGATTACCAACATCTTCCTCAGTCACAGAGTCACTGGTTTCTCCTTCAGTCAGCAATATTCCAGCCACATCCCGGTGGTCAACACTGAGCAACAATTCAAAGCAGTGAGGTCGTAACCACCCAATCCTCACAAGTTGGCTGCCTGTACAACCAGCATGTGGTACTGGAGACCTATTCTTCCCCGGAATCCAAATTCGGTGGGTCTCTTGTGTTGGGTGATTGTGTGAGGCTGACGACAGATTTTATGCAACGTCAAGAGAAATTGCACTCACATTCACATTCTTTGTCATTGTATCGGTTTTTTTATTGGTCATTCTTCTATATAATTCCAAATTTTGAAGAGAATCTTTGAAATATTTAGGTTGCGGGGCACTGAGACTTTGCAAAACCTATGAGCCTAAATATTTTTTCCTTAAAAACACATTGCAACAATGTAATTTTGATGGCAGACAATTTCTTTTTTGTTCTAAAAATATGAATAATTCAGTGAGAGACAAACAGATTTGACTGGTGACTGAGACGGTCTTAAAGTGTGTTATGAACACTGTCTCACCTTGAGCTGTAGCACTATCTCCGCCAGGGGTGTTGGATGCAGCTGCTGATGCTGCCTTGGCTGCGTACAGGTTTGCCTCCTCCTGCGCCTTGCCGATGTTCTTCTTGTAGCGGATACGTTTGTTGCCAAACCAGTTAGACACCTGCGGAGACAACCAAGCATGTCATCGGAGGTCCAAACAGTCCACAGGCAATTCTGTAAAATACCCCTTGGTACACAATCAGATTTACATTGGGGAAAATATTCAACAAAATCGACACAGTTATGATAGGAATGTCCACCTTCAATTATACATACAACACAAGTAAATTAGGACTGCCTTGATGAATTCAGTTGTCCATAGAATTCACTTAAGTTGCAACCAACTGACCTCAGTTATCCATACAACACAGGAAAGCTGACTGACCTCAGTTATCCAGACAACAGAGGAATGCACTGATTAACCTCAGTTATCCATACAAGAGGAAAGCTCTGATTGACCTCAGTTATCCATACAACACAGGAAAGCTCTGATTGACGTAAATTATCCATGTAACAGAGGAATGCTCTAATTGACCTTAATTATCCATATAACAGAGGAATGCTCTGATTGACTTCTGTTATCCCAAATTTTATGTTGTTTCTTGTAAATTTGACAACACTGCTTCTTGTCACTGACAAGGAGTCGGATCACAAGGAAATGTCCGTAAATACACAACAGGACAATAACATCTGATCAATGATAACAGGTCAGCTCAGTGGCTTGGTACCAAATTTCATAAGTGTTTTCATGTTCAAATAGGGATAGCGTGTTCAGAAAAAGGAATAAAAATACTGAACAAAATAAATTAAATTATTATCAAGAAAATATGTTCAACTATCACTCAACATTTCTCTTGATGGACCTATAACACAATAAGGTTATTTTTGAGTGAGTGAGTGAGTGAGTTCACATTGCATCAGTCTGTGTTTTAGCCACAAAACAACCCACGTAACCTATATCTACAGATCCAAACACTGACTAAATCGATAACTTGGTGCACTCATGTTATATATGCCTTATCTTTGAATCAAATCAAGTTTAAGAACCATTGAATCTTTAATCCATTCGTTTCCTGTAAAGATGTCTCCTATATTTACATAATTAAATCCACAGTGATGTCGCAGTAAAATTTAGTTGTCAAGGGATCTGGATACTCTCGGAGACAATTTTTTAATGTCAAGAATTCCGAGGACGATATTGATTTTTTTCTCTGTGCAGGCTTAATTTCTCTCCTACCGTCTTGTAACTGACCTATCAGTCAAAATGTTGATCCCAAAGCAAGAAGATCAAGATTTGTTCGTATTGTATCTTAGGTTGCCATAGTAACTAGTCAATGGATTTTTTACCCTCCAGTCTCCAAGGATTGTGTAATTTTAAGTACAGAGAAGTTTACAGGAAGTGGGTCAAAGTATGTGGAAGGTAGTCAGTGAAAGTCATACTTTCATATCTATTGATTCTGAACACATACTTTGTTCATATTAAGACGTTTGTCACATTGATTTATTGATGACGGAAAGATTTTAAGAAAATCAATTAGCAACTAAGAAACTATGAACCATGAAATAACTAACATAAAAAAACAGCACATAAAAAAAACCACTTGATAAAAGAAGTCTGATTGAAACATACATTGAAGGTGTAGCACTTTCAACATATCTTACATTCCATATTGAAATGTGGCTTCGTTTCCTTGCATGACTACATTCATGTCATCTATCGATTAGTGGTCCTATTCCTTGGTGCAGGAGCTGTACACAATTTCTTTGTGAGGCAACTGAACGTTGGAACGCTGGAATGCTGTCACAGGGATTTAGCTCCGATTCTGAACTAAGTGCCCCTGGCAGGCATAATGGGGAAAAAATGTTATAATGTTAAAAATTGTCATTTGCTAAAGTTCATATTTTCTTAAATTTAAAAGATATTTTATCATTGTCTTTTGTGATTGTATTCAATGCAATAAAATAAAACTATGCATGAAAACTACTTCCACTTTATTGGTCCTGTTATCAATGAAATAAAAATTTCAATAACATTAATAGTTATATAAAAAAAAAATTGGGAATTTTTACTGAAATTTGCTGCAGACCTGGGGCCGAATATCTGCCTCTGAGCAGGCTGAGATAAATCCCTGTATCATCATGTGCATTAATCTCTCAGTCATACAAACACGGATAATTGTCAGCAAAAGTATAAACCTTACCAACATCATAAACTACTCCCAAAGTTTAGCATGTTTAGTTTTCTGTCTTTAGCATTGTAATCTAAGCCAAATTTCTCAACATTCTGGTATCCATAGGATTAGCTATCATTTATCTATGTAACAGACCAAAAGGAAGACATTTCTGTCTTTGGGTTTTCTGTTATTAAAGTTTTTCCTGTTGCTTTTTTACGAAAACAGACTCCTCTTTATGAAACCACTTTTTTTGTCAGGTTAATTTTGCTTAAAAAGTCTCCTGCCTTCTCATGCTGCTGTTTTCTCCACTCTTGTAAATATATTTGACAAATAACGTAAGGTTAGATTATTTTTTCAACAATATTTCCGTCAATCCAGAACAAGAACATTGAACAATGTGAGTGTTATCTTTTCACCAATTCCGTGATCAATACATTTATCGGCCATGTCCAGCAATAACATTCCCCTTCAACTATAACACATGAATAAATGATGCCACATGCATCGGAGTGGAAATATCACTGTGATCTTCACCTGCTATTCAAAGAGTTGTTGCATTTTCACAGAAATGTTGTGATTTTTGTCTATTCGAGCGTTAAGAATCCAACAGTTAACTTGATGTTTATTACATTCTAATTCGATGTAGATAAAAAGATATTAATTGTGTAAGTAAAACTTAAATGCCAACCCTGCATGCTGTCTCACTCATAAATCAAACACAACAGTTCCCAGGATGCTTACATTCCACAAAAACTATTTTTGCAATTATTTCAAAGTCGCAAATTAATAAACATATGTTTGTACATACTTTCGTTAATGCACTAAATAACTCAACACTGACAAAGCTTTTATAAATATTATCAAGTTTGATAGCGTATATAAATTTCCTCCAGTCAGACACGAAATGCTGATGTAACCAACTACCATATCATGTTGTTCTATCAAATACTAAAGCATATTTCAAAATCAACTAAAAAGACAACGATTTCTTTATGTTAAGTGCCTTAACAAATGCACAATAAATTGTCTCCCATATAGAATGACGAGTAGGCAGAGCAAGACAAAGATCTAGCCACATATCTAAGCACCCCTCAGATCAACAATTGAGAATCTCCTCAGCCGTAAGAGTCAGGCTACGCTAATATAACTTCTTTTTTTTTTCTTCTCAGCTTCTCTTTCTGGTCCCTCAGGCTATTGGCGAAGACGGACTTGATTGATGAGGGAAATCTTTCCTGCCAGAAGGCCAGCCTCCGCGAGGGACTATCCCTTGACGGATTACCACGAGTCTTACAGTACAACACTGGGCTTGTCCTTACTATCAACACTTGTAGTGCCTGCGGCAGTCTTATGTACACCCAACCCTTTCACTTTATTGCTTCAGAATATTAAGTACCTTAATACATAAAGAGCTGATTGTATTGGCCTTTGTCCCCATGTCCCTGAGTGTATGTGGAATCTTCTCTCAATTACAGACTTTTAACTTTGTACTACTTACTATGGAATCATAGGGCAGCTTTCTGAATCACAAGCCACCGTAAGTGTATTATTGGGTACTTTTTTGTATCATAGGACACCGTTATCCATCATAGGACACCTTTCTGACCTATGGTCCACCTTTCTAACATATGGGACACCTTTTTGTATCATATGACACCTTTCTAAACAATAGTAACCTACAGTATACAGCAACAACAGTATCATAAGGCAACAGTATTGAAGGTCAACTACAGTATTATAGGGCAACAGTATTGAAGAACTACAGTATTGAAGAACAAGAGTATTGAAGAACAGTATCATAGGGCAACAGTATTGAAGGACAACAGTATTATAGGGCAACAGTATTGAAGGACAACAGTATTATAGGGCAACAGTATTATAGGGCAACAGTATTGAAGGACAACAGTATCATAGGGCAACAGTATTGAAGGACAACAGTATTATAGGGCAACAGTATTGAAGGACAACAGTATCAAAGGGCAACAGTATTGAAGGACAACTACAGTATTGAAAGACAAATACAGTATTGAGGGACAACTACAGTATCATAGGGCAATTACAGTATTATAGGGCAACTACAGTATCATAGGGCAATTACAGTATCATAGGGCAATTACAGTATCATAGGGCAATTACAGTATCATAGGACAACTACAGTATCATAGGGCAAGAGTATACTGTATTGAAGGGCAACCGGCAACTGCCTCTTCAAAGGCCATGTATTGTACCTTGTACAACGGCAACTGTATTACAGAGAACCTAACAGACCAAGGGGAGAACTTCCACTAAAAATAATCACTGAACAAAAGAATTAACTATGTGTAATGTAATGTGACTTTTTTGTTTTCAAATATCTCATTTAAAAATAGTCACTGAGTCACACCAAAATTCTGGAGGACCTAAAGTAACACATGCCCTACATACATCACAACTGCATTCTCTTTCTGCACGTCAGCAGGGAAACATCATTATTGACTGTATCTCACAAAACAAACAATGTATATATTAAAGTAAACAGTGCAGTATGTGGTCTATGTTTGACAAAAAGCCTACATCCAAGCTGTTCCTGAAATAAGCTCTAACTTTAAACCAAATTTAATGATTTTTATTTTCCTGTGGTTCTTGCCAACAAATGCTGCCGTATTGTGATTCTCCATAAAAAAACTTGAAGACTTGGTCCTGCTGGACTCAGTGTTTCATATCATAGAGGAAGATGCTGTCTACACTTATACACCAATACACCATACATCATCTCTTCTGAAATGGGGGTTTACAGAACACTAAGTTCCTTTCATTATAAGGTGAGGCCACTAGAAAACACATGAAGGGACAAGGGCGTTCTTACTTTTGGTGGGTAATTTGTCTCTCGATCGATCAAGCGAGAGCAATGTTATTCCATACTGGAGAGAGAGGGAGAGAACAACCAACTGGAGAGAGAGGGAGAGAACAA